GCGCTGCTCGAAAGAAAGAAGCGGGCAAAAACCCAGAGACCCAAGAAGCAGCCAGCTAAATATAAAATAATGCAGAGCCAAACCGAACCAAAGGCGATGAAAAAACAAAAAAAAACAAAGCCATGCAATGGCAGACAATTGAAAAAGCGCTAAGAAAATGAAACAGCCAAAAATGATAATAGGCACATTTTACAACAAATCAGCCAAAGAAAATGTTTTATTTTTCTCTCTTTTTTGTCTTTTGCTCGTAATTTGGGTTTTGCGGTTGCCAAGATTTTTTTTTTTTTTTTATTCAGCTTTGCATTGGGGGTCTGGGAATTAGAACTGAGCGTGTTAAGCTCACACGATTAGGCATGAAGTGTTGAGCATAGCTGATCTTTAAAAGATCCAATGATAAGAACTCTACGAATTTCGAGGTGCCAAAAAGTTCACTACAGTCAAAAGAGAAGAAATGAAAAGATTGTGGCGAAAAAAGAGGAGAGGAAAAAGCTATCAAGTTTATCATCTTTCTAGTTTAACATTTATTGGAAGGAAACAATAGAAAACTATAAATTTAGTGTTAAGTAAGCTTTAATAATCAATTACAAAAAATCCATTTAATTATATTTTTAAAGTACTTTTACTAACAAGTTTAACAACTTGTCGAAACTACTTGTATGTAATTACATATAATAATTTTAAGTAATTATAAATCATATGCTCATTAAAGGAAATGTATATATATATATGTTTTTATAAGCAAATGATATAAAAATATTTCATAGGCACACAATAAATTATAAATAGCAGAAAGAAATCAAATAAACTTCAACTATTGTATGCTCAAGCAACAAATAATATACATACATACGTATATACAAAAATATACATATATACGTATATATATTTTGTGGCTCATTGTTTCCGGATTGCCAAACTGCAGTTTTACAAAACAAACACAGAAGTGTCAAAATGATGAAAGAAATCATGAAACATAATCCAAAAGCTAGAGAGAGAGAAAGGGAGAGAGAGATAGAGAGAGAGAGAGCGATAGGGAGTACAATGCATTGGCCCGAAAATTGACAATAAATCATAAAAGCGGCCGGAGTCAGAGCCACGTGAATGAACGAGGCGAATGTATCGAATGACTCGACTCCACTCATTAGAGGCATGTGCTGCTATCGCATCGAAATGGAGATATCCAAAGGCCTCCGCAGCTCGCTGGCCATAAACACATTAATCAATCTTTTAAAATACATCAATGATATTTGCCAGGTCTTCAATTTAATTAGTTTACACGAGGGAGTGCTGGACGCACAATGCGGCTGATGTTCCATGTTCGTGTTGTGTGTGTGTGTGTGTGTGTGTGTGTTCGAGTCAGAGTTAAATTTGATGCTGATTATGCGGCTTGGGTTTGGCTTTCAGTTTTATAAATATTTACAAATATAAATAGACATGGACATATACATTTCTATATCTCTATCTATATATATATATATAAATATTATATATTCATTAATTTTTTGTGCATATGCGCGATTTTCACTTTCTTTTTCGCAATTCAAATTAACAGTGTTGAAAGTGAAGCAATTGATGAGCGGATTGCATAAGACTTTGGCTGTGGCAAAAAATTTGATCGAAATTTGATAGTTTTATTTGCTTTATATATAGAAATTTTTGTTTTTATTTTTAATAAGAAAGATAAAAAAATACTTGTGTAAATTTATCATTCATAATAATTATGCTAAAATTGTTGTTAAATTTATTATTTATACTAATTAAGGTCAAATAATTATAAAACGAACAATTTAAATAATTAGGAAAACATTTATTTTATAATTAAGATAAATGATATTTAATATTTTTTTTAGTTTACCACATTAATCATTATTATATTTTTTTTCTTTCAAATTTATTATTTTAAATAATCAGATTAAAGAATTATAATATATAATAATGAAGCGAATATTTTTTTTTTCTTTGCAATTATCATTTATAATAATACACATAAAAATATATATAGCACAAGCAATTAACAAAATAGTTTTTGAGCTAATAACTTAATAACAATTGATATTGTTAACACACAAAAAACTAGATAATTATAGTTGTTGATATTAATAAATCAATAAATATCAATAGATATTTGAAGCTCTATAATTACAAGCTTAAGGAAAAATTTATTAAGCTGTATGGAATTATGTAAAAATATTGTCTTACTAATTAAGTCTGATTGAAATTATTTTATGGAAGAACAGATTTCGGGAGCTCAATTTTTTCAAGTCTTATAAAAATTAAGTGAAACCATAGTCTTGTTTCAAACTAGTATTAAATGGTTAAGAGTTAACAAATTGGCAAAACAATTCCATGCATGACAGCGGAACAAGTGAAGGAAAAGGATAAAACAGAAATCAATAAAAAAAAAAAAAAAACCTAACAAAGAAAACATAATAAAAATAGAGTACAAAAAAAAAGAAAAACAAAACAAAACGCGTCAATTATTAGTAATTTGATTATGGAATTGTCCATTTGACCTGGTTCTAGCAACCATAACTAGCAGAGCGAAAGAGAGAGAGAGAGAGAGAGAGAGAGAGTTAGAAGAAGACAGCTAAATTAGAATTAAATGCATTTCCAATTAGCATTGAGTGTGTGTGTCTGTGTGTGTGTGTGAATGCAACGCGGCTAGCATGCATCTCTCCAGGCCAAACATCAACTTTAAGCAGGCAATTTGTAATTTTTGTTCATCTTGCTAATTCTTTTGTTGTGTAAAAAGTCTCTGTTTGCATTCTTGAGGCGATTAAAAATATGAATTTCCATGAAAAGCACATTAACAATAGAAAATTTCATGTCTAAAAGCATACAAATTAAGAAGAAGAGTTCGCCTTAGGGCATATAGAAATATATTGTTAGAAAGAGATTTGCTTTTAAAGCATGTTTGTTAATAGAAATTTAATATTTTGCACATAATAATATAATATATAATATTTAATTATATATAAAATTTTGGTAATATTTTTAAATTATTTATTTATTTTTTTTTTTTAGATATACAATACATTTTTCATATAATTTAGGGCCAAGTCTGAGTCAATTGTTTATAGTTTTCAAAAAATTATTTTTAATGTTCATTTTTTGGTCAAGATGAAGCTATAAAAAAAATAAAAAACAATGAAAGAGTTGCAACTTTTACTGGTTCAGTTACCTCTCTGCCTCCCCACCCCTCTCGCCCTCTCTCCGCCGTAGATTTCACTGTATCTACAGTCTCTGCTCGTATGTATATATTGGAATCTATTGGCATTTGCATTTGTGTGAGCGAATGTTAGAAATTTGTTTCATTAAAACGCTAACAAAATGCTATTACAACGTTTCTATTTGCTCCCCTCTTCTTCTCCATCTACGTCTGACCCCCCACTTTGCTGCTGCTGCTCTCTTTATATCTGCATTAATCCAATTTATCGTTGAATGTTCCCCCGTTCGGGCCCCGCACAGCCTTCGCTGAGTGCTAATTGAATTAGCGGCTCTTTTAGACTGCGATGCCAGCAAGAAACTCTTACATACATTCATATGTATTGTACATATATGTATGTATATACATATGTATTACAAGCTATACTATATATTCTACATCAATGTTTAACTGATTGATTGGGGATCTGCTGAGAGAGTTTACCAACACTGCTCAGCCTCAAAACCTGTAGCTTTAGCTCTCTTCTAATTGACTTGACCGATGACTGAATCCGTGAATTAGCTCTCAGAGTTTTGCATGTATGTATATGTATGTAAATCTACTCGCATTTGCAGTTAATTCGATTACTCCATATTACCGCGACCCTTTCGAAAACTCAATTCGACGTTGCAAACAAAAGGGCAGAGAGTATAATATATATAAATATATATACTACATGCATACATACATACATATATATATGTAAATATTTAAATATGAATTGAAAGCAAAGAAGAAACCAAAGACAAAAAAAAATCAAATAAAAAATAAACAAACAAACAAAAGTGTGTAAAGAGTGTAATGCCAACAAATCATAGGTAGATTTCTATATTTACATATGTACATAAATACATATATACATATATGTACATACACATATGTACACACACATATATAGAGTACTTAGATGGGTTGGCTTTTTTAGCTTTTTAGCTCATTATGCCAGCAATTTTAATGGCGCCAGCGCTGTATGTCGGACACCTGACAACATACAAATATACATACACACATACATACATATGTATATGCATATGCATATGCATATGTTGACCGATATTTGCATTGATTTACACTTATGAATGAATATGCTCGTCCGTCTCTAGCTACGCTTTGCACTGGGGGCACTTTATAGGTTTTCGCAATGCCCGTTTTCAGCTAATAAATGGCTAAAAACAAAGCAAAATCTAGCCTTTAACTCCATTTAGATCGTTAATTTAAGGCCAAAGTATTTGCGATTTTATAAACCTACCAGAAGCCAATATGCCCCATTTCTTACTTAGTGAATAATGCTCAAGAAGAAGCACAAAATTTAATGCAAACACTTCTCATTTATTCCACTTTCATTCCAAGCGAAGATCAGCAAAAATGCAAGAATTGCCTTATTTATTTACACTTTATATCAATTGATCGCTTATCAATCACATTCACTTATTCACTTTTTCCTATATATACACGTGTATGTATATATGTATGTATGTAAGCCTCGGATATTACAAGAAGACTTTGTTCTTAAATTGAGAATAGTTTCCGCTCAGTTATTCATTCAAGAGAATTAACATTTGCACGCTGTCATCGGCGTCTCCTTTTCTTGATTCTGTTCTCTCTGGCTCGCTTGCTCTCCCTCACACACTCTGTTCGCTGGCGGCCTGTGACCGTTTTGTTGCTGCCCACATAAACTAACAGAACAACAACAGCAAACATTTGCACATGCTTGCAGGCGTGTGTGTGAGGAGAGCATGTGCATGTGCGTGTGCGTGTGTGTGTGTGTGGACTCAGTCCACTGGACTGCACTCACCTTCTGCTTGCGACTTTGATGGTGTGTGTCTCAGCCTCTGCTGCTTCTAATTCTTGCACAGCGATCGGCGCGCCGCAACGTGGCTGCTCCTGTTGCGCTTGCTCTGCCGCCTTTTAACAGCAGCAGCGGGAGCAGCGACGACAACAACAAAGCCCACACAGTCCAACGGAGCAGCAGCTGTGTTCAGAGGCTGCTGAGAGGATAGACGCCGACGTCGACTTCGACAGCGCTGCTACGCACAGCAACAACAGCAGAATGAGAAGAAAACTAAATTTGTTTTTGTTGTATCGGCGGCGGCTGCTGTAGCTGTGACTGCTGCTGTTATTATTTTTGTTGTTGTTGTCGTTCTTCTTCTCGTTGTTGTTGTTGTTGTATTGAATCCGGTTTTAAATTTCTTTCGACTTGGTATTTCTTCTTATTTGCTTGTACATCAAAAATTTGTTTTTGCTGCTTCTTTAGGTTTTCCTTTTACACTATATACACACATGCAAACATGTACGACGTATGTGCGTGCGTGTGTGTGTAGCACTTCACGTGTGGCGAAAATAGCAACAAATACACTTGAAGCTATATTTTCATATATTAAACACTGCGTTTCGATCGCCAAATAAACCAAGATAAACAAAAAAAAAAAAAAAAATTCACACACGAAAAAAAACTAACACAAATGTGTTGCTGTTGTTGTTGGTATTTGTCCTGCGGGCCACGCGGACCGCCAACAATGTTAAGACAATTGAATGATGCTTTTATTTGGGCAACTCGGTAATCAGAACAAACCAACAATAGTGTTAACCGTTAGCGCCTAGAATCTATCACGCGCGCCAAGCTAACAAGAAAATATTTACGCAAACTTTGCACCGTTTTACAAAAAAACAGCTAACAGCGACGGCGACGAACATGTAACGCACGCGTTCGCTTTGAATGCCGGCAAAAGACTAACTTCGCACTCTAACAGACATTCGTGAGGTTGACGACGCGCTGTTAACCGAACTGGCTGGGCTTAACAGCGCTGTTGTCGCAACATGTTGCTGGCCGATTCTGCACAGTGGCGCGCACAGCCACGAAACGGAACCGAGCAATCATGCTGCTTGACAATTCAATTGAATTTAATTAGATATATAAAAATAGAGATTTTCTTCGTAGCTGATAAAAAGCGGCTATGTTTAAAAGTGTTTATTTGCCTGTCTGCTTTTAATTAAAATTCTACAAATAAAGATAATCATTTTAATAATAATTGTGTCTAAATACAGATATCTTATCTAGTGTGACTTTAATGCGCATTGTTTCTATACAATTATTTTCAGTAATTTGATGCAGTAGCCATAACAATACCTAGATAACAAGCCACTGAATGAGCATTCATACGGCAATTAATTCCCACAAATAAATGGGTAACTCAAGTACATGCCGGATGTGTGTGCAGTAATCGTTGTAATTCTGAGCATCCAATTCCACCGTGCAACGCACAAATTATTGAAACACGCATGCGCGCATGTCACTGTCTGTTGTCATCGGCATGCAACATGTTTGGCCTGTAAAGTAACAGGTGTTTACAGCAACATGTTCGCTGGCATCCTAACGGTCGGCACACATGTTCGTTCGCTCGCTCGCTCGCCAAACAATTACATGGGAGCCGATGCGAAATGATATATGTACATAGATTTCAATATAGTGCGTAGCCAACCAGAGCTGATAATTAATTTAGTTAAGTTGCAATCTTAGCTAAATTCATTATTTAACTTGGCCGCAGGTGCGCCGGCGCACCAAACAACAGCGAGCGAGTGCGAGCAAGATGGAGATATGTATGTATCGCATTTGTTTTACCTTTTTTTTTTTTTAAGTTTAATGATCCGCTCGGGGCGCGTAGCTCGGCGCGTTTACTCAGCATTTTAATGAGTCGCGTCGATGTCGCATGATTTTGTTTTGCACTTGACTTTGAGCGTTTGAATAGACATAGACAATGTGAGTACGACAGAGTGCAGGGGCTCTGACTCTCTATATATGTATGTATATGTACATAGATATGTGTATGTATATGTAGATATTGTGTAATTAATAGTTGTTGTTGCTATTGCCGCTGCTGTCTACTATTAGCGCTGGGCAATGCATTTAAATGTAGTTGCGCACCTGCCTCTGCCGCTGCCGCTGCCTCTGCCGCTGCCGTCGTTGACGTCGCCTATTTGTTGACCTTGAGCACGGCCCAAACTTCAATGTCAATGGCGCAAGCCGGCGAATCTTAGACTTAGATTTCGTTGATTGCTTCAGTTGTTTGACTTGGGCTTCAATTATTTGCTGTTCATTTGAAGTTGTTGTGCCCGCTCAAGTGAGTGAAGTGAGCATATTGGTTTTGTGCAAACTCCGTTTTTTCTTCGGGCCATCTAACCATGAGTCCATCTGCCCATCTGTTCATCCATGTGAGACTGGAAATAGAGTATTCTGCAGTCGATAACGCTCGACTCGCTTACTATTCTTACCTTATTAATAGTAGGAAATATAGGGTATCCTTAACTCAATCACTATTCTCCCTGCATTTTATCTATTGAATGATTACAGGGCATCTCTTAGTCTTCCCTCTAGCTATTGCTCTTTTGGCCAACTGCAAGTGCCAATGAAGTTGCATTTTAGCCCACTGACAGCAGGAGGCGTGGCACGGGAAAAACTTGCTCAAAATTGAGTGCAAATTCTTGTCCACTTGCAGGCAATCAATCACGGGGCGCTCATTGGGCAACTGCAGCAAGTGCCGTTACGAGCTGAACTTTTCAGTTATTTATTATTATTATTTTTATTTACTTCTTCTCTTTTTTGGCTTCATGCCGTTATTCGGTTATGCAGCAGCTCACCTCACAAATGTGTGTGTGTGTGTGTCGTCTCATTAACATCAAAAGCATTAACATTTGGATGCAGCCTAGAAAGTCAACCCTCTCTCTCTCTCTCTCTCTCTCTCTCCACACACACATGCACACATGCACACATAGAGCAACAGCAGCAGCAGCTGCTACATGTACATATATATATCTGTGTTTGTGTCTCTAAGTTTATGTCTCTCTTACCCTCTCCCTCTCCCTCTCCCTCACCTTAACCCTCTCTATCTCCCACACTATCTTTCTCTTTCAGTCCTCTATCTATAGTCAGTGCCGCCGCCTCGGCTGAACGCGTGAGGAACGGCAAAGTTTCAATTAAAACTCAAGAACAACCGAAGCTGGGACGCAGTGCGTCATGCTACGCTTGCCAGAGTTATTAAAAGCAGCAGCAGCAGCAACAACGGCAACAAAACCAACAGCAAACAACAAGTCAACAAGCCAAAGAAGCGTTGAAGAGTAAACAGAACAACAACAACAACAACAACAACAACAACAGCACCAAAGGCGAAGGAAGAGCAAGAGCGAGAGAGATGGAAAAGTTTGAGCTAGCACCAAAACTCATCAGCAAATCACGTTAATCAGTCAGAGCGCCAAGTTCTTAGCAGTGACTGGAGACGGAGTGAGGGAGAGAGGGAGAAAGGGGAGAGCTGGAGAGAGAGTAAGCGAATGAGAGAGGCGTGTAAGGTAGGTTATAGTTAAAGCTTTTGGGGCCAAAGTCTCTGTTGGCTGCAGCGGTAATGAAGTGCAGCCAGGCGAGCCAGCGCCAGCGACGAGCAAAGCGTTAACTTTCTGGCCAAGCCACAGTCAAAGGAAGAGCGAAAGAGAGCGAGAGAGAGAGAGAGAGAGGGAATAGCAACGATCTGCATAAGCCAGGCCTAAGACAGCAGGAAAGAGCGAGAAAAGTGCCAAAAGTGGTTTGACTTTGACTTTGGACTTGGACTTTGATTTGGGGCTTTTGCTTTCGTTGCCAGCCGCCGCGGCGTTGCAAATGAAAGAGTGGAAAGAGGACGGAGGAACGAGCAGCTAAACACGATGCTCGGCATGCAAATAGGCCCGTTCGGCTGGCTGCCTACCAAAGCGTAGTTGGGTCTTTAATTGCTGCAGAAAACTGAGATATTATCGCTAAAGTGGAAACTAAACAAATTTGCGTTAGATAAACTGTAAACAGAGCTCCTGACTCATGCGAACGGCTGAGGCAAACACTTTACGAGAAGCTAGAACTTAATCATAATATCGCATTCAAAACTTTTTGATTAGATAAAGAGCTTTATGACACTAGATGGAATAATATAGTTGCATACTAAATGCTTGCGACTAAGAGAGCAACTAAAATGTTATGATAATAGATTTTTTTTAAAGCTCGCCTGAATGTGTTTGTATATTAAATACCAACTGATTCAATAATTAACTGATTTAAATACTTAATAAATAAGATAAATATTTTATATCTCTGCGAAGCTCGTTGACAGTTTAAGAAAGTTGTTGGCTTTGTATATTTGTATTAAAGCTCATTTAAATATGTATATTAAAATGCAAGATTCCAAATTCCAAAATTAATGAGAGCTTATAAAATATTTGTGTAAGCCACGCCTGCAAATGTTTAGTAAAAAAAGAAATATAGGAACTAAAAAGTATGTTTATTAATTTTAATGTAGTCGAAATATTGTCATTACAATCAATATTAAATTTTTACTCACTTGAGTCAAGCTTCACCTAGAAATATGTAGTACTAAAAAAAAAAAAAAAAAAAAAACTCTGCGGATTACATATTGACTTAAAAACTTTTCAGAATTTAAGCACAAGTTTAAGCTCATTACAATTTCATAAAGCTTATGCAATATTCATGCTAAAATTTTAATATATATATTACATATTCAGGAAACCCGAAAGAATGATTTAATTCATCAATATTCTAAATTCAGAGTCAAAAAACAATCGCAGAGTTCATGAAAGCATATGGAATATATCCGTTACAGGTCGTTTATGCTCTAACGCGACACAAAAGAAGCTGAATGGATTATGTATATCATATAATAATAGAATAATATACTTTACCTTCCTAAAATACTTTTCGGAGTTAAAGCTTTTAACTTTCTACAAAGCTCATTAAAAGTAAATAAAAGCTCAGCAACTCTTTATGCTTAAGCTGAAAGCTTCTTAAATTGCCCCCTAAAAAACTTGAGGTTACTGGATATGTATATATCCTGCGATAATCATAAATGCTCAAAGCTCTTGGCTTTCGGCCAGGTAGAGCATAGCCTCGACTTTGGCAATAGAGAGTGAGGATGAGTGCGAGGCTTCGGAAATTACGTTTATGAGCCTGTATTGCATGC